GCCCCCATGGTCCAACCAAATTGATGAAGGGGTCTATGAATTTCAGATTGGGAAACAAAAGGAGACTGATCAGATTAAAGTTTCCTGTCCAATTATGTATTATGTAGGTGAGATGCTGTTTTGTAGAGAGAGTGAACTAGAAGATTGCAAAACTGTGAAATTACACGTAGTTACATTAGGATGGGAAATGAGAACTGACCTTGGAAAAACACTTTGTCAGTTGATTGAAGAACAAGGAGGCAATTACATTCTTGATGTTGATCTAGACTTTTTCACAACAATGAATCCATTTATTGAAATGCATAAGAAAGTAGACATGTACAGCAGACTAAGGCAGATTTACAGCTTTGACTTCTATGAAGTAGAGGAAGAGGCTGTTGTGAATGCCCAGGTCAAAAGAAGCAATCAGATATCTAGTTTAAAGAAAATATTTACCAGCTTACATGAGCTGAAAGACCCAGAGCAGATCAAGGAAAATGTAAATTCAATCTGTCATTCAATTTCATCTCAGACAGACAGAGATATTTTGACAGCTCTTATCAAAGACTTGGCAACTGAATATGGCTCAGAAGTTGACTGGGAACTGATCCATGAAGCTGGGTGTACCTGTGATGACCAAAAGCACGAGTTGCCGCACCACGTTTCCTCAGATGAGCAAATTGTTCAATTAATGGAGTGCTTTCAACAGCTTATTTCATCTCTTCCATCTCCAACTGTCATTACCCTCTCCCGTTCTAGTCTTGATGATTACTGTCCCCCTGATAAAGTGGATATGGTACAGGATTTACTTTGCAAATTTTTGAGAAGAACTTTTGATATAGATTGTAAAAGCCACTATTTGAGTGATAATTAATGTAATATCTTGTGCAAGTTTTTCTTTTCTGTTTTATTCAGTCATTCATTTTTTTTAATCATTTCATGTTAGGAAGAGAAGACAATGATAATGATGTGTAGTGCTGAAATGTGTGAGTAATGTACTGGTAATTTTTGTCTCGAGTGTAAATGCAATTATAGCAATATTTTGAATGTGGGTTTACAAGACTATAATATATTTTGACAATTTATATTACATTATCCATAGTATTTATGGTCTGTTGTTGTTTATAATAAACAAGAATCCCTGCTGAAAATATAATCAGATGTATTGCATTTTGACAATAAATTTAAATAGGCAGAGAGTTGTATTATTTACTCTGGGACAAAAAGAAAAAAAAATCTGATAAATGTGATAAGAAATGAGAAGAAAATAATTTAAACCAAGTAAATAACAGCATCTACAAAAATTAAAAATCAAATAGTATAGAATATGATTACATAATTGATAATGATGGAAAGAAAATGTTATTTCTTCCTATGGTAATGAATGACAATAATAATATTTGTAATAATAATGATGATGATAACTGAATCAGCTATAGAAATAATATATATCAATATATACTTTTTTTTTTCTTCCTTTATGTAATATTTTTAGAATTTTTGTTACAATTATGAATATTGTTACAATTATTGTTTTCAGCATTCAAATATCTAGTATTTTCACTCTATGACCTTGATGTATAGCACATACATCCTCCCCAACCCCTTGCTCGTTGTTACCGTACGGGCCATAATAATTGGAGACTTAGGCCCAGTGTAGAGATCACCTCCACCTTGGAGATCAGTCCTCACCTCAGCTAATTTTACAGGTTCTGTTCTTTCCCTGTCCTTTTCCTTTTCTTCTTCATTCCTTTTTTCTGTCCAGCTATCCAGGTCGTTAAGTCATATTTGCCGTTTTTGCCACAATACTTTAGTTTAATGCTGTGTGACCTTTGATGTCTGTTACATTTGATTGTTTTGCACACTGACCTTTCAGGAAATTTACAAACATTGCCTTACCGAACCTACAGACTTTATTTACATGGGAGCTTGGCCCCCAGTCCCACCCTGTCGCTATATTTTGTATGCGCTGCTAATGACCTTAGATCTTGACGCGGCAGTTTTTTCAGTAACTGATGAAATAGCACATATATTTGTTTTAACCATTCAGGTAATTTGTTATTATTATATATATGTATATTGGCATCATTATTACTGTTGTTATTAAACTTCCATGCTCTTTAATCAGTGGGTATTGTCTTATTGAATTGAATAGTACATATTATGATGGTATTATTATTTTTCAAATTGATATATTTTTGTTTTATACTTTATTTCTTTTCAGTTCTTGTTACAGTTGTTTGCCTTATATTACTTTTTAATTATCTTTCACATTATTATTATTACTGATTATTATTGTCATTATTATGATAATTATTATCAATATTATTGTTATTTTTAATATTATTATTATTACTATTACTACCACAGTTTCCATAATCACTCTTTTTGCATGATAGAATACTCTTTGTAATAATGAAGATATTCAGAATACTAAAAATGACAGTCTGGAAGAGCAGTAATGACAATATAAGTAATAATGATAATGATAATAATAGAAATAAGAATGATAATAAAAAAGTTAATAAATAATAATGATAATAATAGTATTAATAATTATAATAAGGATAACAGTAATGATGATAATAATGAAGATATGAGTAATAATGATAAATATCATAATGATAGTAGTACTGATAATAAGATTTTAAATGATAATGATAATGATGGTAATTAAGAACAATAGAAAGGATAATCATGACAGTGATGATACTGAGGCTGATGGAGCTATAATGATAACAAAATAATGAAGGAAGATATTAGCAATAGTAGCGATAAGGATAGCAACACCCAATAATTATAATATTAAGAATTATTCTAATTAATTTAATGGAAATGGTAACAGTGATGGTAATGATATTAATAACAATAATGAAGACAGTAGAAAAAAACAGTGACAAGAGAAAGTCATTGTTACTGCAGTAAACATAATAATGATAAATAATACAACAGTAATATTATTTTTATTATTTTTTGCTAAGTATTATTTTAGTAGAAAGAGTATTGTCATTATAGTTATGATTATTATTCCACATTACTTTTTTCATAAATACTATAATTTTATCATCATTATTAGTATCATAATAATCATCATTATTATTGTTATATTTAATGTTATTGTTATTGCTATTATTATTTTGATTATCATTATTATTATTATCCTCATTATTGTGTTTGTTATGGTTATTATTATTATAATTATTGTTATTGTTATTATAATTTTTGTTATCGTTATTGCCATTTTTATCATTATCATTTTCAATATTATTATAGTTATTGTCATTATTAGTAATCATACTATTATTATTATAGTTATTTGATATTATTGTTAATATTATTATTGCTTTATTTTTATTACTAGTCTTATTGCTTTTATTATCATTATTGTGTTATCGTTATTATTATTATTATAATTATTATTATTATCATTATAATTATTATTATTATTATCGTTATCTTTTTATGATTATTGCTGTTACGTTATTAAGTCTGTTGTTGATTCTGTTATTATTATTATTATTATTATCATCATCATTAATATTATTCCTTTTTATTATTCTTTGCCATTGTCATATTCATGATAGATAACTAGAGGAATAGATAACAATAAAAAAAGTAGATGGTTTTAGCAATGTGGAAGGTGTTGATAATAAGTATAATCAGTTCTGCATTCCCTTCTGTATGATAGTCATTAATGTTTGTTTTACTTTTAAATAGCAAATGCGAGGCGATTCGGCGACAGAATTCGATAGTTAACCCTCGAAAGAAAGCAGCTTCAGTTTTCTTTAAAACAACTGACAATATTTATCTATTTATTTATATATTTATTTATTTATTATGTTAGTAATAAAAAATTTAAAGACTTACACTTAAATATCAAAACGAAATATCCTAAACCCACAGAGTTTTTTTAAAAGTAAACAATAGCCAATTAAAGATGATCAAGAAAATAAACAAATAAGCATAAAAAAGGTAAACAAATCAATAATTATATTGTAAAAAAAAAAAAAAAAACTACGAAGATTTCTTTGGAATTTCAATAGCAAGAACTAGCCAATTAATATCGCTACTGATAGTTTGGCAATAAAAAAAAATGAAAACAACTAATTTAGACCCATAATACTAAACAAATGTATGAAAAAAAATTAAGCTCATTCAACTGGAACTTTCAATTTTTGGTCTTGAGCTTTCATTTTAAACCTTTTTTTTATATCTCGGAACCAGAATCATCTCATCATCTTTTGTCTTAAATTGTCAAAATTATTAATTTGTTACTGTATTTATTTTCGCTGAAGCTTTTATCTGTACCAATCTATGCCCAGGATTGATAAAAAGTCAAAGGGAAGTTAAAGGAAAGTCAAGAGCCAGGCATAAGAGGGGATTTGAATGAAAGTTAAACGGAATGGTTCAGTATGTATGTATTTTCGCAGTATGTATTCTGTATGAGTATGTGTATATATTGCGTGTACGTGTGTATATATTGCGTGTATGTGTGTAAATGAAAGGTATTATTATTATTTATTTATTTATTTATTTGTAGCTTCATTTGTAGTCATTCAATCTTACAATTATTTTTTTCTTTTCTTGTTTCCGTTATTCAGAGCAATATGCGTGAATGTTGGGTAAACTTTTTGTCATTAATGGTAGAATGACATAATTAAAGTTGATGACCAAATAACAGAATTGACATTTTTCGGTCAATATGTAGTATAAGGTAGTGGCAGAGTTTGGTAATAAAACCTACATGAAATGATAGAACACTACAAACCAAGACAAAGTTCTTTTATGGCAATATGTGAGCAAATTCTTCCCAAGGGTGCTATACGTAAAAGAAAAGAGAAGACCCCCCCCCCCCCCCCGACAATATCTAAAAGAGGGTTGTGGGTTATTTTCGATATTTGATATTTTTCTGCATGAAATCCACTGCCTTTCAACGATTCTAGGCACTGTTCCTTGTGCAAATGAATCGTTGAGGAGATATGATCACCATCTCTATAGACAATCTTGATTTGATAGTCCCGATAGCAGGGGAGGGCATGAAGTATATCAGGGAAATTATGGGGTAAAACTGAACCCCAGTGGTTGTTAAACGAAACTTCCTAACCCAACATCCAACCTAACCTAACCTAATTCGTACAATACTTATTAACATTAACATAATGACTCCATTTACTACACTGGAAAAAAAGAAAAACTACACCCGCTGATACATGAAATAATTTGTACAAGTAAAGAATAATATCAAGAAGTTAAGAAAATAGATTACAACATATGCTGGGCAGAGAGATGGTGATTGGTTGAACGTCTGTGAAATAAGTCCTTAAATTAGGAAGGCTTTTGGTCCATATAGGGATATTTGGTGATTCCCAGGAGTGGTTGGAATAAGGGGGTTGTAATCCTAAAGGGGTTCGAGGCAATTTCCATCAAGTTCCAGTCGTTTTGCCAGAATCATTTTGCAATGAGAAAATGTCGGTAATTTTTTGTGGATACTCAGGAAATCAGTAAATAAAATAAATAAATAAATAAAAAGTAGAATTGAAACATTTTTCAGTTATAACAAAAAGTGTACAGATTGAAGAAAAAGAAGATACATGACAGGGATGAGAGAAGATCAACCCATTTTTTTCTAAATTATTATGTTACAATTATCAGTGCCTGCATTTTCTAATTCACGTAGCTAATACATTCTTTTATTATTTTATACTTCTTTAACGTGTTTTGATAGTTATTTATGCTCTTCTATACAATAACAATGTATCACTTATACTTTATTGTAATAATAGATCCAAACAGATATGTAAATATGTAAAGAGAGAGAGGGAAAGATGAACAGAGAGAGACAGAGAGACAGGGATGAGGGATGAGAGAGAGGGAGATAGAGAGAGAGTATGAGAGGAAGCTAGAGAGAGAATATGAGAGGAAGCTAGAGAGAGAGAGAGAGAGAGTGAGAGGGAGATAGAGATAGAGAGAGTATGAAATAGAATAGGCATACACACACACACACGCAACACACACACACACACATGCAACACACACACACGTGCGCAACACACACACACACACACGCAACACACACACACACACACACACACACACACACTCGCACACACGCAACACACACACACACACAACACACACACACACGCGCGCAACACACACACACACACACACACACGCGCGCAACACACACACACACACGCAACACACACACACACACACACACACGCAACACACACACACACACACACACACGCGCAACACACACACACACACACACACACACACACACACACACACACACACACACACACACACACGTGTATGTGTGTGTGTCTGTGAGAGGGGGGGGGGGGGCAGAGAGTAAAAGAAAGAAAGAAAAAGAGTTATAAAGAGAGAGACAGCTACAGAGACGGAGGGTGGGTAGGTGGGAAGAGAGGGAGAAATAGAGAAAAGAGGGGAGGGAAGGGAGGGAGAGAGAGAGAGAGAGAGAGAGAGAGAGAGAGAGAGAGAGAGAGAGAGAGAGAGAGAGAGAGAGAGAGAGAGAGAGAGAGAGAGAGAGAGAGAGAGAGAGAGAAAGGGGGGGGAGAGAGAGAGAAAGAGAGAAATAGAGAAAGGGGGAGGGGAGAAGAGAGAGAGAGAGAGATAGAAAAATAAAGAGAGTAATAGAGGAAAAGGAGGGGGAGGAAGAGAGGGAGAGAGAGATGATATTTTGAAAGTGGCGCGGGTACATCCGTAGTTTCATTGGCCGATTTTTAGCTTTTTTTTCTGGTTTGATGTATTATTGTTCTTTATTTGTATTTCATTCTGATTGCGACGGAAAAAAGGATTCGTTCGTTTTCATGGCAGAATGATATTGATGTATGATATGATATAAATATTGTCCGTGAAGGCCCGATTGTCAAATTCAAATTTTATTCATTTTCTGGTCAAACCCAAAAATATTTATGTGTATATATTGTGTATGTAAGGGAGAAATACTCTTATTCAAAAGACCTCTTTAAGTTCGTACAACCTTAAAGAATGGGAAATTTAAGGTGTTTTAAAAGAACTTTTGTACCTTTTGTTTACTCTTATTCTATCATGTGAAATTGATTTATCGTGACCCTGTGAGATATGGATTAATCTTATGTGAATTCCTATTACGCCTGAACATTTCTTGGTGACCTAATAATGTAAAAACAAGAAATAACCCCGAGACGCCATCTTCCCATTGTTGCCAAGTTCAAATGTCAAGCAGAAGCGTTTATTTTTTTTATAACCATTTTGGGGTAAGAGGAAGTGTCAGTTTATACCTTTCTATTCCAAGAATGCTTGATATATCCATCTACAAAACCTTAGTATTGTGTTGAATTTGGATATTCATTTTATGTCCTGTGTTGTTATTAAAGGTTATTTTTGTTTGTCAGTTGTAGTGGGTAAGTTAACTGTGGATCAGAGAAATTGCAAAACTATGCAGCGTGTAAATAAAAACACCGGGATTGTAAAATAGGTAGGTCGCAGTGAAGGTTCCGTACGCTTGCCATGCTTGCACTCTCAACGTAATGCGCAGGGCAATGACAAGCACAAAAATAACGCGTATGTTGTTGGTTTCTGGGGTTGGATTAAGGTAGGAGTGGAGTTGGGGTTTGCGCTATTGGTGTCGTGTGTTTGTGGTTGGTTTCTGGGGGTGGATTAAGGTAGGAGTATGGAGTTGGGGTTTGTGAAGGCGCTATTGGTGTCGTGTGTGTTAAGTCTATCGGTGGAGGTGTGATGCGTCGGGGGAGCCTGTACTAGTCACGTACGGTATGTGGGAAGAAGGAAAGCTTGCAAGAGTCGGTGTTGGTGTGGTATGTAAGAAACTTTCTGTTGTGTGAGTTTCGTGTGCTATGTGTGTATGTGCTGCTTGTAGGTATTCGTGGTGGTTAATGTCAGTAAGGTTGATTGTGACCTTAAAATATTGTGAGTCTGTATGTGTGTCTTGGTGTCTGGAGCAGGTACATGTTTTCTTGTTTGTGAGATTTTATACCAGGAATACATGTGTGATTTTGTGTAATAAACATATCGGCTCTAGTGTTCACCTGTTTGAGTTTTTCATTGTTGTGCTTAGTCTAGGGGTCCCTTACAGCAGAACAGTTCATGTGTGTTGTAAGCTATGTGTTCAATGTCTGTGTATAGTTGTGTAGGTTTCTCAGACAATATGTTGTTGAAGATAGTGGGTAATGAAAAGTATATGAAATGATAGGATGATACAAACCAAAGACAAAGTTCTTCTGTGGCAATACGTGTGCAAATGCTTCCCAAGGGTGCTATACTTTAAAGAACAGAGAAGATTGCCCAATGCTGGCAAAGTGACTCATCTTATTTATATTGTGAGGGTGAATTCTACAATGACTGCATAACTCATTACTGTGATTTACCGTGTAGTTCATGTATTACTACACGCTTGCCATAAGGATATTTTGGTAATTATGTCTGTCTTTCCATTTAAGTTTTCAATGCGTTCTTTTTAATATTATACTTCCTTAGGGGATTCTTAGATTTGTATATATAGTTCTGTACATTAATCTAATGCACTTGCGCATTTTCACGAACATGTCTTTTGACAGCATTAGGAAGCTCCATTCGTTGATGTGGGACAGTGAGAAATTGTTGTTTTTAGTGGGTTATTCGCAAGACATATGTTCTCACAGTCTAAAGGTATGCGTTTTTTACCGTGTCACTTATTATGATTATTTATTATTTCAATATTGTATTTGACTAGAGAATATATTCCACGGTGTTAGGCTAGGCCGGATATTGGGTTAGGGTGTTTGGTAATTCTAGAGGAGATGGAATGTTCACTTTTTCCTATATTCACCCTATCCCGTACAATCATGGAGAATTGGGGATTTTGGGGGGACCACACAGACGTCCCCCACACAAACTTTGCCCTTGGACCCCCTCCTGATCACTGTATTTCCCAATCAGGAGCCTCCTTTTCATGATGTTTTTATTCTTTTTTTGGTTCTTTTTGGTTTAGCTGTTTTACCCCATAATTTCCTTGATATACTTCATGCCCTACCCTGCTATCAGGGCTATTAAATCAAGATTGTCAATGGATATGGCAATCATGTATCCTCAAAAATTCATTTGCACAAGGAACAGCATTTAAAATTCTAGAAAGCAATGGATTTCATGAAAAAAAAAAAAAGTTAAAATTGCTTTGAAAGTAAGCCACTACCCAGCTATACCAATTGGCTGTTATCTGTTATCTTTGTTCATGATGAAGTCAATCTGAGTGTTGAAGGTGGGATTGTTAGAGAGGTATACTCAGAGGTATTTGTAGGATGCTGGGAGTGTCAGTTTCTTTCTGTGTAGAGAGTAGGTGTAATGTTTGTGAGATTAGTGAAACAGTACCTTGCATTTACTGGGTGTCTTAAGGTCATATGCCATGATCTTTCCCACTGTTGAAGGAGCCGGCACTTGTCTTCAGCATTTATTGTTGAAATAAAAGACTGTCGTCAGCAAAGAGTCTAGCAGAAGGGTTAGGTGTTGATAGTGGAAAGTCATTAATGTATAGAAGGAAAAGACAGGGTCCAAGAACTATGCCTTCTGGGACACCAAAAGAGACAGGGACAGACTCAGAAGTGGCACCATCCACTAGTACATGTTGGGTTCTACACATCACATAAGCATTGATCCAGTA